ACAATGTATGCTCAAGACGGGAGCACAGGCAGTTAACATAAGGAAGTGTCAAACTGCTCCAACCCTTACAGCCATCATAACTGCCTAATTTTGGGTTTCTCAGAAAGTATTGATATTAGAGGCATCTGATAGCAAGAACCTTAAGATAATGCCGTTCCTCAAAACACAGTGAGAATTTATCAGTCTCACTCATCTTTTTCTTACCCTCTTGTTCTTACAGAAAATTTCCAAAATCCATCTGTACTTGGAACCCAGAATTCTCTGCAGCTCTCTCTTCCTGTGGTGAGCAACACAGCTTCCCTCACAGGAAGTGTCTGCAACGTCTCTAGGGTCTCTGCTCCAGCCCCCACTTCAGCATGGCTATTGCCAGCGGGCTCCGGCACCTCTTTCCAGCCACTCATGGGTAGTGCCTACCTTTACCAGCATTCCAGCACAGCTATGTTATCTGGAGTCACTGGCCAGAGCCAGCTCTCCACTTCAGTTGCTTCCTATCCAGGTATTTTTGAGTGGGACACTGAGAAGAAGTCTTCTTCACTTGGAGACTTCACTGTGACAGTCACTGACCAAGACACAGCTGTTTCCTCCATGTCTATGACAGCCCAGTATGACAAAACGTCAGAAATGACTAACATGGTCCCTGTATATCCATCTCTTTCTGCCAACCTTGTTCAGGAAACACCATCTCAGATTCCAAATCAGGGACACAGCCTGTCACTTCCCCACCAGGAAAGAGGCCAGGTATATTACTGTCACCAAGGCACACTGGGGCCTTTACTATCTGGAGAGCTTGGCCCCTGCCTGCAGTCCTGTGGCTCTGTGTCCTACGCAGGAAGCAGGACCTCTGCCCAACCGGAAATGGTCATGTTACTAAAGGAGATTCAGCCCACAAATATCCCACCACCAGCTTCTACCTCTGGAATCTACTACTCTGTGTCTGCTCAGCCCATCACAGAAACAGGTTTTCAAGGTGAGTACAAACAGCAAGAAAGTAGAATGAGCTCAGAATTCAAAAAATGGGGTCAAATCTACAGCTGGGAAGTGGCATATAGACAGAATTTAGATCCTGGGACTTTAATAACCACAACCTTTGCTCAGTGCTCTGTTTTTAGACTGTATATAAGAACACCTAATGCAGGTGGAAGGCTGCACACTGTAAAGGTCATTTATGCTACATGTAAGAGAACCACAGTTCAGTTCAGTCGTTCAGTTGGGTCCGACTCTGTGACACCATGAACTGCAGCATGCCAGGCCTCCCTGTCCATAACCAGCTCCTGGAGTTTACTCAAACTCATGCCCATTGAGTCGGTGATGCCATCCAACCATCTCATCCTCTGTCGTCCCCTTCTCCTGCCTTCAATCTTTCCCAGCATCAGGGTCTTTTCAAATGAGTCAGCTCTTTGCATCAGGTGGCCAAAGTATTGGAGTTTCAGCTTCAGCATCAGTCCTTTCAGTGAATATTCAGGACTGATTTCCTTTAGGATGGACTGGTTAGCTCTCCTTGCAGTCCAAGGGACTCTCAAGAGTCTTCTCCAGCACCGCAAGCGCGTACCAAAGGCACCACGGTTTTCAGTGCTCTAGTTGATCAGCCCTGTACTACCACACTGTATCACTCCCTTCCCTGATCTATTGCTATAGTCTTCTTGGGAGGTGTTTCAGAACTCTTATTATGATAGTGCCAGTTTGACTGTGCCTCACTTCCTTACTTTATACCAAGATTTAAGACCTTGTGGTCTGAGATCCTGTCCGGAGCAGGCAGGCTGAAGATTCTTTGTTGATATATTTTACCAGGAAGAGCTCTACTCCCTCTCATAGTTCATGGTGTGAAGTGTTTTTAGTCTCTCAGGAAAGTGGGGAGAATTGAAAGGACGCTACATGAGAATGCTAGGTTTTGTGAGACATGTTATATTTTAAAAATAGGACTCATTTTAATTTGGCTTATAGGATCCCTATGGAATACAAAGAAAGCCAAAAATCAGTGACATCAAATGGTCACCAGTAAGAATTAGAACAGCCACCTCTTAGCTCCCAGCATAAGACAGGTCCACCGTCCTTAAGACTAGGTAGTAGAAACGCCTTGCCCATCATTGAAAGGTACATGATTACTGTGCTGGTGTCTGGGGGTGGAGGGAGCATCTCACTCACCAGGGACTGACTTCTTCCTTCATTCCTTTGTAGTGATGGAGACTTCCCTGGGGATGGAAAATTCCCTGGGATCGCAACCTCCAAGCCAGACATTTTGTCTGTCAGAAACTTCAGAATTCCATAGGTCCTGCATTAGCAGAAATATCCAGATACTTGAGAGTAATCCACCACTTGAACTTGGGGACATTTCAATGATAGCTCCAGTCCAGAGTGCCAGTAATCTCCTGACACTGCCTCCAGTTCCAAGCCAGGAACAAACAGAGAATAAGAATTTGGATGATATTAAAACTAAGTTTTCAAAGCCTCTGGATGCTTACCAGATCCCAATAGAAAACCAAGATCCTCTGCTAGTGCCTAGAGAAATCTCTGATATTCATGAGCTCCTGGCCAGCATTGATCCCCTCAACCAAGAGGAGCAACTTGTTTCTGAAAATGAGAATCTGGGAAAGAAAAGCCTGAGTTTTGAGGACTTAGGGACACTTGAAAATGTGTTTGACTCTAGCAGTGGCTTTGCAGACATTGCTACCCTGGTAGAGGATATTCACCTTCCCCAGTTCTTTCATTCTTTGAAAGACCTTGATCAATCCGAAGCTCCAAAGTTGATCAAAGCCAAAGATACCAGCGCTGTTAAGGTAAATCAGGTGCAGGAAAAGCCAAATGTCATAAAGGTGCCCTCTGATCAACCCAGGAAGAACAAACATAAAGCCTCTGAGTCTGTCAGTGATGCTCCCAAGGCCAAAATCCAGCCAAAGAACCCAGAGTGCCTATTAGGGGAAGAAGTGATTACATGCAATGCTGCAGTCGGTGACAAGGCTCCTGTGAACACAGTCAAACAGCCGAACAGCAAAGCTCAGAAAGCTGCATCCGGCAGGGTCAACAAAGCTAAGAGCCATGGGCAGGCAAAGACCAAGAGAACCAGAGAAAACAAGAAGCCTGAAGAGAATAAGCCATCAAGGAACAAAGTCAAGGCAGAGGAGAAGCCAAGCATTCCCAAGATGAAGCGGAAGAAAAACCAACCTGACTTTAGCCAAGAGAACTTTAAAAAGCCTCGAAGCTGCCTAGGCATGCACATGCTGGAGTCTGTGCAGGTTTTTCATGCACTGGGGAAGAGGAGTGATAAGAAAACTGGACTCAATTCCTCTCGGGTCCTGGGAAATTCAAGCAACCCTAAAGACCCCCAGCCATTCCCTGCTATCAAGTCATGGCTCAATACCCCATGTGAGGGTAAAGGTCCTGACAAAACTCAAGTCAAAGCCCAGAAACCAGATGATAGTGCTGAAAAACAGTGTCTATCACCAGTGCGGTGTGAGCTGCCTCCTCCTGGGAAGGTCAAGTTAGTACCTTTGCCTTTTCCTACCTTGGACAAGCCTCAGGCTCGACCTGTTCCTCGGAGGCCACAGTCTGTGGCCTCATATCAGCCTGCTGTGGCTTATCCTGCGAGGCCTGGTTCTACTAAATCAGCTCAACCTGCTGCAGCCAATGCATCCCGGCCAGCTCCTGCATCTTTGCCAGGTCCTGCCAAACCAGCTCAGACAACTGTGACCAATCCAACCCGACTGGGTTTGACCAAACCTACCCGGCCTAGTGTCCCTCAGTCTGCTGCTCCTCGGCCTGTACTCTACAAAACTTCATCTTGCACTTCTCTCCAGCGGGAGTCTGTTCCCACTCCTGTGACCAAGCGCCAGTCCCCACCCAAGCCTCAAACCCAATTTCTACTCCAAGACTTCTGCTCCCAACCAATTCCTTGGAGGAAACCCAATGTACCTGAGCCAGTAATGTCAAAGCCCATCACAGAAGAGCAGCGGCCGGAGCGGGAGGCCATGAAGAGGCAGGCTCAACTAGAGCGTGAGAATGCTGCTAAATACACCTCTTTGGGGAAAGTGCAATATTTCATTGAGAGGGAAAAAGAGATGGAAATTGCTCGGTACTATGGGTATGCCATGTAAGAGCTGCTAGGATTGTTGGTGCCACCTGGGGTACCAGTTCTTTTCCCATATATAAATAGATATAAATTTCTCTATTTATTCTGATATATTTTAAAGCTTAAAACTGAACAAATATAATAGAGTTAATAGACAAATAATAAAGACTTTTGAATTTGAGATGATGTTAACTGTGCCTTTTTTTTTTTTTTTTGGTTGGGGCAGGAATCAAAGTCTGCACAAGAAAGGAAGGACTGAATGTTGGATGAGAGAAGAGGGAAAAGATGTAAAACCTGAGGAAAGAGGAAGGAACTTGGCTCAGGGCTAGGAAGGCCAAGAGATTTTACGGATTTATAAAAGGAAGCAGGAGTGGGGGAAATGGTAGAAGTAAAAAGTAGGATCTGAGGTTAGGATTGAAAGAACAAAATTTGAGTAGAGTTGAAGATGACAGAAGATGAGTCTAGTTTGACGAGGAAAAGCAGAAAAAGTCTCTCCTTGAGACTGGCCTTATGTCTCACCACCACCAGAGAGGTATTTCAAGAGGTTCAGGACACCCCTCTGAAAGGTCTGAGTTACCTAAGTGTGATGACAGAGGGGAATTGGGAAGTCTACCAGATGAGTGGCAAGGGCTCAGAGTTATCTTGGCAGCTGAGCAGAGGGCGAGGGCCAAGTGAACTGCTGCCGCAAGAGGCTCGGCAACAGGGCCTGGGATAGAAGGCACCATTTACTCAGCTCCTAGGCACCGGGGCGGCAATACGCTGTGGAGTGGACCCTGGCAACAACATGCAGGGCCAGAATTCCTCTGCCACGGCTTAGTGAGGTTCAGCAGCGGGCTGAGGGCACATCGCATGCGGAGGTACAAGGCCTCAATCTGAGGCCCAAAGGCCCCCCGAAGTCCTCCGTATTCGCAAGTTCAGTAGGCCGCCAACCTGGCTTTTACAGCATAGCATCCGGAGGTTTCTGGTGGAAGAGATCAAACTTCTGCAGGGGCCGAAACGTCCACTTGAGGGGCTTCCTCCATTGACCCGTGCGCGTGCTGCCTTCTCTAAATAACGCCATCAAAACATCGCCATCAACTGAAGCGCACGAGAAAAATCCTCTGGAGGTGTCCATTTTCAGGGGCGAGAGCGGTAGGCACATGGGCAGTAGGTCGCTGCTCCGGCAGCCATAGGTTGCAGGTATCCTGCAGTCCAGAGGTTCCTTGAGAGGCAGCTCAAGGGAGTGAAGATGAGGAGGTGGGGTGGCAGGGGTGGGGAGTGGGTAGTGGTGGGGTGGGTGGCGGAGTTGGGGACTGGGGTTAATGCAGGCCAGGGGTTGGGGGGAGTGGAGAGGGTGGGCGTGGAAAGGAGGGAGAGATGGAAACAGCGGATAGTGACTGTAGGAAAATTGGCAGTTTTCATTTGTAAATTATTTTATTGAGATATGATTCACATATCTTAAAATTCGCCTTTTGAAACTCCAACTTCAGTGCCATTTAGAACATTCACGAGCCTATGCATGCCATCATCACCAGTATCTAAGCCATAACATTTTCATCACCCCAAAAAGAAACCCCCTTAACCATCAGCAGGCCCTCCTCATCCCCTCCTCCTTCAGCCCCTGCAATCATCAATTTACTTTGTGTCTCTATGGTTTTGCCCTTTTCTGGACACTGCATGTATAGGAAATAGTGTAAATATGACCAACATGTCTGGCTTCTCTCAGTGTAATGTTTTGTGTTTTTTTTTCCAGTGTAATGTTTTCAAGTTCCTCTATGTGGTAGCTGGTGTTAGTGCGTCATCCCTTTTTATGACTGCATAATCCAGTATAAAAATCCTTTCATCCATTGGTGAACATTTGGGTGGTTTCCACTAATAATTTCCTTTTATCGAGAGTTATCTTGTGCCAGGCAGCATCAGGCTAAGTTATTGACCCTATTTTACAGATAAAGAGGTTTGGAGAGTGGGAAGAATTTGCCCAAGATTAAGAGCTAGCAACTGGGGGAGCTGGGGTTAGAACTCAGGCACACTTCACACGACAAAGCGTTAGAAAAGGTACACAAGCGTATTCAATGGAAATTCACCCTATTCCCTAAGTTCGCAAGCCACACATTTCCCTCCTCAGAGACATTTGCTTCCAGAGAAATATTTATACGCCAACATGCATATATCACAATTTATTGACTAATCTGTCTCACAGATTTGAGATGTCACCTTTATGGTAAAATAGATTCTTCTACATATTTATATTACTCTATAGATTGTCCTCTTTTTTGCCTATCTTTTTTTATTTCCCATTTCTCTAGAACTCTTTGCATCTTATTTTAAAAAGTTTTCTCCTTTTTCGGGTTTCTTGGTGACTCAGTGGTAAAGAATCTGCCTGCCAATGCAGGAGACATGGGTTCTATCCCTGGGCCAGGAGGATCCCTCATGCTATGAAGCAGCTAAGCCCATGTGCCATAACTACTGAAGCTGTACTCCACAACAAGAGAAGCCACTACAGTGAGAAGCCTGCACCCTGCAACAAAAGTTAGACCCTGCTTATCCCAACTAAAGAATAGCTAGTGCAGCAACAATAAATAAATAAATAAAATTATAAAATTTTTCTCCTTTTCTTGTTTCTATTAAGGCATTATGTACTCTTGTATTATTTTACACAGAATTCATTTATGAATTTATTTCTTTTATTTTGAATTCTGTCCTAAGTTCTGTTATCTTACCGAATTCTGATTTGTACTGCTTTTTCATCTTTTCTTATTATGGTAAAACATACATAAAATTGATTACTTCAGCCATTTTTAAGTATACAATTCAGTGACATTAAATGCATTCATGATGTTGTGTAACCACCACCACTATCCAAATTCAAAATAATTATATCAAAACATTGAGCAGGACCTCAGAAAGATGGGCCCAGCAGAACAGTTTTTGAATCTCCCCAAACCCTTTCATGGAAATAAATCCACCAAATACCCATGGGTGGCATTTATCAGCATTTACTCTTTCCAGAACTTTTTCACCATCCTCAACAGAAACTCTGTAACCATTAAATAGCAACTTGCCATTCCCTTCAGGATCCATGTTCTTTCACTTTTTGCATTGTTTTTCCTACCATCTTTTCACCCACTTTGAAATGATAGGCTACAGTTTTTATCTGTTTTGTGGGCCAGTCTTTTCCAACTTGCTTTTATTGTCTGAAGAGATGCCATTCGCTCCTTATTCTCTCTTTGCTTACACTGCTTTTGTATGGGATTTAATCCCAATCCTTTTCTGCTATTTGCTTGTAGGTGAAACCAGTTTTAAAACACATTGAAAGGGAGATGTGAGGCCACCTGGAAATAGGTTCTTCATGGCAGTTCCATCAATATTTCACCTATTTTGTTCTGGAATAACAATAACTTTTGCAGGAGGCATAAACCAGTGGGCTTTATCACTAGACACCATTCAGAGAATAAGACCCCATTAAAGCCTCCAAAAATGGTTTAGTTAAATGATTTTACCCCAGATGATCACATACCAGCCCCAGGAAACTCAATGAACCAGAGACAAGGTACAATGGCATCCTTCCTTCTCTCTGCCTTAGCTCTTGAGGGTTGGTCACCTACATGTTATTAGCAATTACGATTTGGTTTCTATTCATAACTACTATCAGAAGACACAGTATCTGTGGGCCTAATCACACTGCCCTGATACCCACTGTTCTTTTTCATTTTGGCTTCTTGCCCATCAGCAGGAGCCTGGTTTATTTTTGTTCTCCTTTTACCACAGCCTGGTAATTTTTGTGAATGACTCAGTCTCACCACAGACTGAGGGGGTTTCTAGTTTCTCAATAAAGTGCTACCCATGGGCATGTGGTTTTGGCTGCTCTATTTCCATGAGAGGGTTTTGTTGTTGCTCAGTTGTTAGGTCGAGTCCGACTCTTTGTGACCCCCATGAACTGCAGCACTCCAGGATTCCCTGTCCTTCACTATCTCCTGGAGTTTGCTCAAACTCATGTCCATTGAGTCAGTGATGTCATTCAACCATCTTATCCTCTGTCACCCACTTCTCCTCTTGCCGTCAATCTTTCCCAGCATCAGGGTCTTTTCCAATGAGTCAACACTTTGCATAAGGTGGCCAAGGTATTGGAGCTTCAGCTTCAGCACCAGTCCTTGCAATGAATATTCAGGGTTAATTTCCTTTAAAATTGTTTGGTTTTAAATTTAAAATTTAAATTTAAAATTGTCCCTTGCTGCCCAAGGGACTCTCAAGAGTCTTCTACAGCACAACAGTTTGAAAGCATCAATTCTTCCACGTTCCACCTTCCTGATGGTCCAATTCTCACACCCATACGTGGCTAGTGGAGAAGCCATAGCTTTGACGTATACAGACCTTTGTTGGCAAAGGGATGTCTCTGCTTTTTAATATGCTGTCTAGGTTTGTCATAGCTTTTCTTCCAAGGAGCAAGTGTCTTTTAATTTCATGGCTGCAGTCACCATCCACAGTGACTGTGGAGCCCAAGAAAATGAAATCTGACACTATTCCCACTATTTCCCCATCTATTTCCACTTCCCTAAGAAGTGATGGGACTGGATGCCATGATTTTGAATGTTAAGTTTTAAGCTAGCTTTTTCACTCTCCTCTTTAACCTTCCTCAAGAGGCTCTTTAGTTATTCACTTTCTGTCATTAAAATGGTATCAGCTGCATGTCTCAGGCTGTTGATATTTCTCCGGACAATCTTGATTCCAGCTTGTGAATCATCCAGCCCAGCATTTCACATGATGCACTCTGCATAGAATTTAAATAAGCAGGGTGACAATATGCAGCCTTTCCCAGTTATAAACCAATCCATTGTTCCATGTCCAATTCTAACTTGCTTCTTATCATGCATACAGGAGGCAGATAAGGTGGTCTTGTATCCCCATCTCTTTAAGAATATTCCACAGTTTGTTGTGATCCACACAGTCAAAGGCTTCAGCGTAGTCAATGAAGCAGAAGTAGGTATTTTTTGGGAATTCCCTTGCTTTTTCTATGATCCAGCAGATGTTGGCAATTTGATCTCTGGTTCATCTGCCTTTTCTAAATCCAGCTTGTACATCTGGAAGTTCTCAGTTCACATACTGCTGAAGCCTAACTTGAAGGATTTTGAGCATGATCTTGCTAGCATGTGAAATGAGTGCATTTGTATGGTAATTTGGACATTCTTTGGCATTACCTTTCTTTGGGACTGGAATGAAAACTGACCTTTTCCAGTCTTGTGACCACTGCTGAGTTTTCCAAATTTGCTGGCATATTGTGTGCAGCACTTTAACAGCATCATCTTTTAGGATTTGAAATAGCTCAGTGGAATTCCATCACCTCCACTAGCTTTGTTTATAGTAATGCTTTGTAAGGCCCCACTTGACCTCACATTCCAGGATGTCTGTCTTTAGGTGAGTGACCACACTATGGTGATTATCAGGGTCAGGAAGATCTTTTTTGTATAGTTCTTCTGTGTATTCTTGCCACCTCTTCTTAATCTCTTCTGCTTCTGTTAGGTCCTTGACATTTTTGTCCTTTATTCTGCTTATGTTTGCGTGAAATATTCCCTTGGTATCTCCAATTTTCATAAAGAGATCTCTAGTCTTTCCCATTCTATTGTTTTCCTCTATTTCTCTGCGTTGTTCACTTAAGAAGGCTTTCTTATCTTTCTTTGATATTCTCTGGAACTCTGCATTCAGATGGGTACATCTTTCCCTTTCTCCTTTGCCTTTCCCTTCTCTTTTTTATTTCTGTATTTTTTCCTTTTTTTTTCTTTTTTTTCAGCTATTTGTAAGACCTCTTGAGACAACCACTTTGCTTTCCTGAATTTCTTTTTCTTGGGGATGGTTTTGGTCACCATCTCCTGTACAATGTTACAAACTTCCATCCATAGTTCTTCAGGCACTGTCTACCAGACCCAGTCACTTGAATCTACTTGAGACCCTCACTGTATAATCATAAGGGATTTGATTCAGGTAATACCTGAATGGCCTAGTATGGTTTCCCTACTTTCTTCAATTTGAGCCTGAATTTTGCAATAAGGAGTTCATGATCTGAGCCACAGTCAGCTTCAGGTCTTGTTTTTGCTGACTATATAGAGCTTCTCCATCTTAGGCTGCAAAGAATATAATCAATCTGATTTCAGTATTGACCATCTGGTG